GGAGCTGATGGAAGGGGAAACTATTAAAAAATTACATAAACGGTTGAAACGATCCCCATGCAACCTTATTGAGCACTGTTAGCCTGGGGCCATACCCTAACACCTTAGTTAAACCTGCCCACAAGATGTTTGATATTTTGCCTAGTATCACTGACCTTGATTCCTGTGAAAAATCAACAGTTAACTGTGAGAAATTTTACAGTGACCTTGATTAAAACCTGTGAGAGCGTCTTGTATCAGTGACCTTGATTAAACTGATCAGTTTACACTTTTACCAGTGACCTTGAGAATTGAATAGAAATTCACACAGTTTACATTAATCAACGATTGAAACGGTTGCGGTTGAAAGTTGAAACACCTTACTGAGCACTGTCAAAGAGAGGTGTTCCCTCTTATTTTTTAATATTTGTAAAACAGATCAAATAGGTAATCGTTTCAACCGTTGGCCCTTCCTAAAATTTAAAATGTCAAATTTTAACAATAAATAAAATGTCATTCCATCTCAACAATATCGTATTATTGTAGCCAAAGAAGTCTGATTCTTCGCAATCGCAGAGGACAAATTTGCTCTACAAACTTGACCTTTTGAGTTTTGAATGAACCTGTCCAGTTATCCAAAACTGAACCCCTTTTTGTCTTGTTACAGTATTGCTTTCAATCGTTTCAACCCAAATAGACCTGACTGATGCGTCATATCATAATACATTTTGCTTCATTAAAAAGAAAATCTAGTAGGCAACACAGGGGAATTACACACTTTACACACTAAACCAACTAATTGAAGTATTTTCTACAAAAAGAAAAAATATGTTGTTACGGATTAAAATAACTAGAAAAAAACAGGTTGCTACAGATTAAAATAGCAGGATGCTGGAACCATCCAAGTTCACAATCTACCCTGATTACCCCTTTTTAATGCAATACAAGTTCACAATCTGCCCAAGTAAATTGCCTTATACAAATTCCTTGACCACATGGATTTCATCAAATCTAATCCAGGCATAAGAAAACACATGATTTTAAAACAAAACAAGCAATAGGAAAATTTCTAATTATTTTAGAAAATATCCCAGATTATCAGTGAAAAAATCTGAAGTTGAGCAAAGCAATTGAATGATAGACTACTCATGTAACTAAGCAGTAACACTTTTCAACAATAATACCATAATATCTTATGATAAGCCATCATTCCAAACCATAAACCTAGTGGAGTGTGCACGTGTTATGAAACCATAAACTAACCTCACATAAGAAATAGGAGATTATGTGGAAATTATGCATTATGGGAGGGATTTAATTTAAGAAGTCTGAGGACATCAAAGACAACTTATTAGGGAGTCTATGTCAATATGTATGGTTTTGTATTCCAAAGCAAAAACAACTGCCATATCAGCAAAATCATATTGTTTCTGTTGATGTGGCAACTGTTCTTGTTTTGAAAAACAAGCCATAAATATAGGCAGTTGGATCTGAACCGACCCAGACATGAGTTAAAAGCATAAGACCCACAGGAAAGGCTGCTAAACTTGCCTGACCCGATTAAATGAAAGTGGAGTTTCCTGTTACAATATTACTGATATGTTGATTGCTAATTTATCCGAACTTTGGGATAGATACTCAACAAACAAATATTTATCTAAACTTTGGATAGAGTTTCTTGTTACATGATTGCTAATTTAGATTACTGATCATTGTCATCATTCCTTTTCCTAATTATATGGGGTTGGTTGTTGATTTAGATTACTGATATGGTGATTGTCTCTTGTTTTGCATCTTTGTAATTAATTTTGTTTTTTCCATATATTGTGTCATACATGATGTTTTGATTTTTAAAATCCATGTAGAACATATGTTCCTTTTGTCAAACACATATTTTATGATTGAAGAATCCGAGGGGCAGGAGATTAAATAACTTCTATAACTAAGTTTTTTTTACTCATTATTCCCATTCACTTTTATTTGTGATTGTCTCTTGTTTTGCATTGGAAAAACCGTGGCGGATGAGGATCTGGTGATTCTGATACATATTACTTTTCCTTTAATAAGACATTTGAAAATAAATTCCTTTTCTTATGGTATGTTTTACATGGGGAATTTAGTTTATATTTTTTGAAGAAGATAAAGAAAATTTTGAATTAATCATAGAAAGAAGGGGAGCCTTCAAAATATTCATGGCACTTAATCTCCTTGACGTGACACTGTGGTAGGACTAAAATGAAGACATGATCTCCAAATTAAAACATATAATATACAAATCATACACAACAATTAAGCAAAACAGAGCAAGATGACATATTAGAAATTGCAGGCTACATTGCATTTGCATGCTCTTCACTAAGGGGAGTTCAGGATAAGTTTGTTGGTGGAAAAACCATAGAAGGCCTCAAAGTCTCAAACCTCAATACGTGCAATAAACATCCTTGTTATGTGGGTTACCAAGGGAATAACATTGTACTCCAATATTATGTAAAACATATAAACATCATGATTCAAAATAAAATAAAATAAATCCCCTAAAACTCCTAGCATATCCCACAACACTCCAATATCATATAAAGCATATAAAAATCAATAAATCAATAAATAAATAAACAACCACAAGTTGGATTCTTGTAACCTGCTAAAATTCCTTGCCACGTGGATTAGCACATTCCATGACATTCCAAATATTAAAAGAGATGGACAAAATTTAAACAGATAAAACTAATAAATAAACAATAGATGAATGGGCTTTTTCTTTGCTTGAAACATAATAGCTACCACCTTATTAGGGTTATAGATGAAGGGTGCAAGGAAAGGCCATTTGACAAGTGAAATCCTCTAGATTTCAGGTCTAGATTTTAGACGATCCAGAGTAAGAATACTATCAACAGCAACCAACATAGTGCTTATTTCTTTTTGTTTGGTAGAGAGACTAAAAGAGAAATCTCTTCTTCTTCAACAAGTTAAAGTTAGATTCTACCTGTTAATTAATATTATTGAGCTAAAGTTTGGGTAGTGCCATGTGATTTGTCTTTTCTGGTTGCAGCTTGGCCATCCAAAGCATTCAATAGAAGAGGAAGGAGGTTATGGCGGATGATTCATAGGGCTACAAGCTCTATCAAATACGTCCATCGAATTATACAGGGAAATGCATATTGAAAACAAGGAGAATTCCTTTAGAATGTAGGCATTCACAGAAACCCTTGAGTAGTCCATATAAAATTACACAATCTCACGAAAAGAAATTGATAATGAAATCAAACCCAACTGCGTAGAAGCTGACACAAAACAAGAAGCAACATTCGAATATAGTGCGATCAAACAAGCACAATGAAAAAAAGAAGAAGAACATATGAGGAAATCAAAGCGAACCTGTGCAATGTTAATGATGAACTATCGGAACCTTAGGTGCAACCCGGCCTCCTTCTTGAGCCTTGTGGCTGGGATCTGCAATAAAGAAAGCAGATCAATGAGAGAGAGAGAGAGAGATCCGAGAGGGGGTGAGAGAGAGTGTGTGTGAGTGAGGGGGAGAACTGAGAGGGGGAGAGAGAGGGAGGGGGAGAGAGATTACCGGATGTTCGGCTGAGAAGCAGCGGCACCAGCGAGAGAGCTAACGGAGTAAACGAAGAACGAGCAGAGAGACATGCGAGACAGCCAGGGTAGAGTGAGAGGAGTTTACGTCGATGATAGAACCGACGAGTTTTACATTAATAATTTCGATGTATAATTTACCCCGAATATTGGTGTAAAACTGTAAATAGAAATGGAAGTGGAGTTTTACACCGATTTTCGGTGTAAATTTACGTGTTTATCAAACGTACGTAAAATCGAACTGGGGTGTAAAGTTTACCCCGGTTTGATTTTCCACCCCAAACAAACGCAACTTAAGTTAATGGTTTTCTTCCTAATTTAATTTAACGGGGCAAAAAAAGGAGATATTGCAATGTTATGTGTCAATTCCACGAGCTTCTAGATGGAATTTTGCACCCCTTCTAAAATTGGTTAGTTTGGGTAAACGACCCAAATTGTTTTGTTAATTTTGAAATATTAAAGCTGCATTTGGAAACAATGCAAATGGAATGTAAATTCCGGTTCAGGGTAAATTTGTATTCTATTTCACTTTTGTGTGTGTTTGGCAACATTACATTTATACATTGTCAAATGACATATCAATGCATATTTACATTGATAATAAGATGTAAAAATACATCAATAAAAAATAAGTAAAATTGCATTTAAATGGGCTTTTGATAAAAAAAGCATATATTTTATTAGAATTCATGCTTGCAAGTTGCATCCATTACAACTAAAAAGTGTTTGGTAAGAAGACAAATTTATCATTGCAAAACTAACCTAAATTTATAATTTATATGAACCATTTTACACTCTACATATTTGCATTCACACTTATTTGCATTATTATATATTATATATTATTTACATAATTATACATTATATATTATAATATTATATCATGGAGTATTTTTTATTATAATTCAAATCGAATTGACGTTTCATCAAGTTTGAATTAATTAATGAGCGTATGGGTTTTTACCTGAAAAAAATTGGATTGGATTTAAATAAAATATCAGTTATATAAGATATCCTAATTCGAATTTGAATAATAATCTTAAAAACCCGACGGATTCCTATTGGATTTGGATGGGTCGGCTTATCGAATCGGATATGATATATCATCTACAAGTGAGACCCGATCATTGGCAAACTCGATTTTGGCGTCACATGTCGTTAGGTTGAAAGGATGATCCAACCGTTAAAACGTAAAAACCCATTAACCCACTTTGCTGCGAATTGATGAACGGTCTGATGATTCTCTTTAAGACAAGGGATGGCTGCTGACAAGCTGACACTGACGGTTTGCATATTTGGTCGAACCGGGATGACATTTTGGTCCAGTAGTCTTACGGTCCAACTGGAATCGTTTGGTTGAACCGTTGGCCGGAAAGGAATGTCATTTTGGCGCGAAAACGAGTGTTTTCCCACCATCTGCAGCAACATCACAAACCTACACCACTCTGTCGATCGAGAGTCAGAGAGAGAGAGAGAGAGGGATGGAAGAGGAGTCGCTTGTTAGAGGTAGTCGGAAAAGAGGCAAAGGAGCGGATGCCTCGGTTCGTGCCGGAGCTCTTGAGCGCCTGAAAGCTCTCCGTAGCGGTGGGCGGCGTTCTGAAGGTGGATTTCAGGTAAAGATAGAAGATCCGATCTACGACACTGTTGCCGAAGAAGACTACGCCGCCCTCGTTGCCAAACGACGAGAAGAAGCTCGTGGATTCATCGTAGACGATGACGGCCTCGGATACGGCGACGAAGGCGAGGAAGAGGATTGGTCCCAAGATTGCTTTCCTCCCTCGTCCGATGAATCCGAAGGCGAACATGAAAGACGCAAGAAGAAAAAGACGGAGAAGAAGGATCCAGCCCCCAAGAAGCCTTCAGCCCTCTCTGCTGCCGCAGCTCTTATGGGGAAGCAGCGTATCTCTTCAATGTTCACTTCTTCGGTTTTCAAAAAGAGTAGGGAGGACAAGTCGAAAGGTTTGTCCTCTGATAGTATCGTTGATGATGTCATTGCCGAGTTCGCCCCCGATGAAGCTGATAGAGAGAGGCGGCGAAGGGGACAAGCGGGAATTCTGTCGGGTGTAAGAAGTTCTGCGCCCATTGATCCAATTAAGAGAGAGAATCAACCTATTGTTGGTACTGGCTTGGTTGCCAAGTGTGAAGTAGCTGAGGTTGCAAATGGTGATTCTGAGGCGCGGTTCCAAGAAAATCTTAACTTGGTTCCAGGAATGGCGACACCTAGTGAATCAGAAGGTGAGAGAAGTTTTCATTGTGAGGTGGGTTCGGATTCATTTCCACAATTCCAAAATTCTTCACCGAGAGAAAACGTGGTTGTGGAGGCGCCACCAAACATGAGTGAAGTGAATGTAGACCCAATGAAGAGTACAGAAGTATTCTCTCTTAATGCCAAGATTAAAGTAGATAAAGACCCAGCATTAAGCGCCACTGCCGGATGGAAGGCTATACGGAACGGAGAAAATGGGAATTCTGCTTCTGAAGGAGGTTTGGATTCCAGTCCTGCTTGCGAGGATAAATCAGATCTTACGTTGGATTCAGATGGATCGCTGCTTTTCTACATCATTGATGCCTACGAGGAGTTTTATGGCGCCAATTTGGGGACTGTCTATCTCTTCGGGAAGGTACTTGGCCACTTTTAAAATAATCATGAAAATTTAGCATTACCTCCTTCTAGAGTTTTCAAATAATCATGAAAGGCATCTAATATACCAATCTGTGTTCAAACACCCCACTTGCTATCAGGAAGGTTGGAAGAGTTTATGAATAAGAAGCTTACAACTGAAAGTACTATAAAGTTTTGAATAATTTGATTGGAAGCTGCACTAATTAAAATGATTTTTTTACACCCCTTGGGGCTTTTTGCTAGGTTTAAGCTAGAACTTTTAAGGCTGAAATTGCAACATTAGGTTGCTGTGATCAAATGAGTTGAAACTTCAAAGGAGTAAAAGTAAGAAGTGGAGGGAAGTATTTAGGTTAGAAAGGACTGATATCAAGATGGAAACAGATCACAAGGCCCTCAGCTTGCTTATTCAGAGATTAGCTTAAGCCTACACACACACACAAAAAAAAAAAAAAAAGAGGTTAGGAAGAATTAATAGTGCTTCAAAAATTAAGAAAACAAACAGGTTGGGTTATGAAAAAAAAAAGTACTTACATGAAGCATAGAAAATAGGGATAGTATCTATTCTCTAGGGTCCTTTGCATTCTTGTTTCGTCCATAATGCACTAAAACAGCCTTACTCCAAATCTTGTCCTTCCTTGGCCACAATCCTGCTTTTTCACTGGGAAAACAGAAAACTTCCATGTTTATGCCATCAAGATTGGCTTCCACTTAAAGCAAACACGCTATCAGCTGTTCCAAACAAGAGGTGACGGCTTTGAGAGCAAACTTTTAAAATTGATGGTATATGATCCCCTACCTCCCTAAGGAGAAAGGGGGGTTGGGAATCAGGAAGCTTAAGTTGTTTAATAAAGCTCTCTTGGGAAAATGGATTTGGAGATTTGAGAAAGAAAAAGACAGATGGTGGAGAAAATTAATTGCAGCAAAATATGATACTGACAGTGGGGACTGGGTAACCATTGATTTCTTTAGGTTGCTCCCTGTGGAAAAAAGTCATGGAAGTTCTCCCTTGGATGAGTAGTGGTCTAATTCCAAAAGTGGGGAATGGGAATAGGTTGCGTTTCTGGAAGGATACTTGGTGTGAAAATACACCTCTGGCTGAAGTATTCCCTCAGCTGTTTCAGATCGCGGAAAATCAGAATGGATCGGTGGCTAGTCAATTTGAAGTGAGTGGGGGCACTATTATTTGGAGCCCTTCCTTTAGAAGGTCATTTCAGGACTGGGAAATTGGGAAAGTTGCTGATCTCTTGGGGTTGCTTTACAGGCGGTCCATTGACTTGTCTTCTGAGGACTCTTGGAACTAGAAGTTTAGTGTGGATGGTAGTTTCTTGGTTAGCTCTTTTGTGGGGGTTCTGAATGAAGCTGTGCATCCAAAAATTCCAGCGGAGAAGGTTTGGAACCCTTCTGTGCTTTCAAAAGTGAATGCTTTGGTTTGGGTTGCATCTCTCAGTAGATGCCTTACGAAAGACTCCCTGGTTAGAAGGGGTGTTCAGATTCAGGACCAGCTGTGTGTTCTTTATGGAGATATGGAGGAGTATGGCAGGCACCTATTCATTCATTGTTTGGTTACAGCTGCAATATGGAATCACTTTTTATTGGGGGTTGGGCTGCTATGGTGTATGCCTTATTCAGTTCTGGACATGATATGGAGTTGGGAGCTGAAGGGTGGTTCAAAATTGGCGAAGTGCATTTGGAGTGTCCTGCCTGCAGCCATCTTATGCACAGTCTGGACGGAAAGAAACAGAAGGATCTTTCAAAATAAGGCCTCTAGCATAGATTGCTTGATTGCCTTTGCATTTGGCAAGATAGTTTCCTGGATGGCGGCGGCGAAGGACATTCAGGCTTCAGTCCTCTGTTCTCAGCTGAGATCTAGGATTTTTCTTGAGTTATGATGTATTGTAGTTGTTAAAGTGAGTTTTCGGCTCCTTGTCTTAGGGGCCTTGGTTGTAATCTGCCACTTTTGGCCATTAGAATAAAATTTTACCTAATCCTTTTTCAAAAAAAAAAGGTATATGGTTTTTTTCCTTCTCATTCTTTCTAGAGTCAGGTGACAGGTTAGTGGCCAGTAGCTGACAGTTGTCATTGGCGTTTTTACTAACTAGGCATACATTTTTCCAAACACTTTACCGGTTTGGCATGTTATCCAATGTAGATGTATCTGGCTTGGCTTTTTTATGTTTCATTTATTCACTGTGCTTTCTGGAGCAATTTTAAATGGCAAACAACCTTTCTGACAGCTGCTATCCGAATGTGTTAAGGTTAAAACAGGAAATACATATCAGAGTTGCTGTGTGGTTGTGAAGAATATGCAGAGATGTGTTTATGCAATTCCAAACATTTCTGTGTTCCAAAATGATGCAATATTGGGGCTTGAGAAAGATGCTATGGAGTCCCGGATTTCATCCACAATTTTCCGAACAAAGCTGCAGGTGCTTCTACATACTTCACATGTGGATAACTAAGAATCCTCTGTAAAGTTTTATATTTTGAGGCATTCCAGTTTTTGTTTTTGGTAGGAGATGGCGTCAGGGTTGAAGAATGAAATAGCAAAGAAATTGTTAGATCTCAATGTGTCAAGTTTTACCATGGCACCGGCTAAGGTTGATAACTCAAATGCTACAGCAAGTGCTCTTGTTATACATTTTGTATTTTTGCATCATTAATAATTTTTCTATTATATATTTTCCTTGTATAATTGTTTGTGTTGCATATTACTTGTTGTAGAGGAGCTACGCCTTTGAGCGATCTGATATACCTGCTGGGGAGCAATATGTTCTTAAGATCAATTACCCATTTAAGGTATCTTAAATTGTAGAAGCATTGACAAAGATGAACCTAGTAAGCTATTTTCTACTTCTCTTAAATTCAATTGAGAGGTTTTCCTATAATTACTGTTCTACAATTGATAAGTATTCATTGAATCAAGTCTTCTTGTTAAGCCTGTGGAGCTCTCATGCTTATATTATTTAAAATTTCACAGAATATTGTTTATATTATTCCTTCCTCTAGGTCATTGCTTTTGCATTTCAATAATGCAGGATCCACCTCTTCCATCAGATCTCAAAGGAGAAAACTTCTCTGCCCTTCTTGGAACACACTGCAGGTAGGACCAACTACATTTGGCTTCCCTGTGTGGGAAGTTTGACATTTTATGGACATATTCTTTTGTTTTGAAATGCTATATTTTGTATATATCAACTTATACTGGCATAAACAATTAGACACTAATATACACTCTCGACCAAATCTTATCCTGCCTATTTGGAGTGGATGTGTGAATCTTGTAAAGAGCAAGGTTTAAAATGTCGATGTCGGTGGAAATGTCGGTCATCCAAATATAAGAAACATGTCGGAAATGTTGGAAATATCATATGGAAATATTGTAAAAATCATAGATATGGTGGAAACAGTGTAAAATATGCAAAACATAGAATGATATTTTATGAAATGATAAAAGAAGCATGGACACACCTTTTTAAATCACTATCTTGTTCTAAATCATTAAACAAAGCTAAGAAACTAAGGTTATGGACAAAAGAATACATTCTGAAGTTGCCCTGTAAACCTTAAGATTCAGAGTTTAATAGAATGTGTTAAAGCAAAATTTAAACTCATAGAAAATGTAAATGATTGTAATAGATCAACCATATAACCTATTACACAAACAAAAAAAAAATTAATATTTAACTTCATGTTTGAAATGAATATTAAGCTAGCTCAAGGTGCTTATCATGTAAGTTAGGCGTAAACTAACATTGTTCCTTCACATATCTGGAATATTGTCACCAACTTATTATAATACTCTTGGACTCCACAAAGTACTGGTAATGTTCATTGGGGAATATGTTGATTCCAATAAAATTTCATGTCACTACCCATGGAAGTGGAAATGGAAATATGTTGTGGAAACTATCTCTACATAGTGCTGGTAGTGTTCATTGGGGAAATGTCGGTTCCGGTAAAATTTCGTGTTGCTAATTATGGAAATGGAAATATGTCGTGGAAATATTAGGGAAATTAGGGACATTTTAAAAGTTGATTAAGCTGGCTTAGGCATGTTAAAATCTTCTTGCTTCAGTATGCCTTCCAAGTAGAAATCTACTGAAAAAAAAACTGTAGAAAGAAGTGAAAGAGAAGAAGATTTTTGTGAGAGGAGAGAAGAAGAAGAGGAAGAATGGAGAAAGGAAGAGAAGGCAATCTTATCTGGCGAAACTCGTCCATTAAATATTTATAAATTGAATAAAAAGTATGTACAATGACAGATATGCCCTTAATAGGGTGGCTAATGCAAATAACTTAAAAGAAACATAAAAAAACACTATTCTAACAACTTCCAAATAATGGGTTGTGGTTCCCATTACTAACTAAACAAATAATAAATAAAAAGAAGTCAGAAACCTGTAAGATCCTCAACATTCCAAATCTATGTTTTGGGCTATATTCTAGTTAGTAGGACGTTTCTGTTGGGTTACCTTTTGGGCTGTGTTGTAATTAAAGGGATTGTTTTTGGGTTTGTTTGGGGCTGTGATGTATTTAGTGGACAAAGTGGAATGATTGTCCCACAACTTCTTGTTGTACTTGATTTTCTAATTAATGAGTTTTTTCTGTGTTGCTGATAAAAAAAAGATCCTCAACATTCCAAAAATTTGTCCAGTCCTTGTTTGTTTATGAAGTCAGAAAGGTAATTTTGTATACATATGCACCTAGGGTGGATGGGAATCCAAACATGGATTTGCAAAGTACCCCATAGGTTGATATGATGAAAATGTATTGGCAATTTGCCTTTTGCTATTCTCTGTGTTTTCTGCACTAGGTTCAAATAGTTGATTTAGAGATTGAACGCTGGTTAAGTGGAGCTTGTTTGGGAGCACATCTGATCCAAGGTCTGCTGTGCTCCAAGGCCAAATATACTTGGTTTGGATTACCTAACAATAACCATTTCCTATGAGGATTGGATATGAGTCTGATAATCTGATCACCATGTAATTTGGATATGGATTCTGCTATAGATGCAAGACCCTTTGAAACCTCTTATTGATCTGATTCACATGATTGAAATAAGCCAGGTATGGATCCAAATAACTAAGGCTGAGGCGAACTGGATTTAGACCTGATATTGTCCATGCTGATGTGAACTGCTTTGGGTCCTACTCCTAACCCATTCATGTCCCCTAAATAGGGGACACCAATAACTGGATATGGATATGGTGCATTCACGAGTTCTTCTGCTGGCTTATCTGTGTTTGCATTTGCATCAAATATCTTGTTTTTACCATGCCTAGTGACATTCAAAGTCAAATCTCCTTTAAATTGATATAAACAGGAAAGCAATTTGAAACTGCCATGCTTTTACAAGTCAGCTTCAAAAATCTATTCTCTTATGCTATCAGTGGATAACCTTGTAAGGTTTCAAACAGTTGTTTTGGTTTCAATTTACCCTAAATCAAAGCTTTGCAGATTATCTTATAATCAATTTACCCTATCTGGCTTGTAAGGTTTCTACATTCATCTGGATCACCAATTGATTGGAGTTCTTGCAACATGCTCAATTTTGAGGGTTAAGAAATAGAAAAAGTGAAACTGAATAACCTCCTCATATGCAGTGCTCTGGAGCTTTTTCTAGTCAAAAGGAAAATAATGGGACCTTCTTGGTTATCAATTTCAAGGTTTTCCAACTGTCTGTCCACTCAGCGGGTAAGTTATTAAATTCTCATTCTTCTCTTACCATTATCATGATGATGTTTTCATGCATATTTTTGATAACAAGAGCTAATTTTAATTTTGGATAGGTAAGCTGGTGTAAGTTTGAAGTTACTGTTGATTGCCCAAAGGAGATACGGATCTCAACTTCTTCAAATATCAAGCTGGAGATTCCTCCAGTAATTGTTTTGGCATTAAATCTGAAAACAATTATCAATGAAAACCAAAATGTAAATGAGATCGTTTCTGCCTCAGTCATATGTTGTCGCAAGACCAAGGTTCGTAGTAGATGATTCTGCTTTTAGAATATTATTTTCTTGTTTGCAGTGTTGGTTGCTTTTGATCATGGTATATGCACCTATCTCAGATTAATGATTTGTACATAGCTTGGAGATCCTGGAATTCTAAATTACTTTGCAGTGGCAATCAATTTACTGATTTTTACTTAAGAAATTCCTTTGAAAATTTTCTAATGAATGTGAAATGATGGTGACCGCTTCCAATGTTGCATGAGAATCATGGTCATGTTATTTCCTTTTACAAGATACCAATAAAAATGGTATTCCTTCTACAAAAAGCAACAAAAAGAAATGGAATGAGATGGCCACACAATTACTTTGTGGAATAGGTCATGGACCCACACTGAACTCGAGGTTTAGCTTGTGTGATTAAACTCCAATGAGGTTTGGTTAAATTGAAGATCATACTGTAAAATGGGCATGGGTGCAGTTATAATGTTTGGAAGTAAGGTAAACATGCAAATATGATAATAGTGCAAGATAATGTTCCACGGTTCAATATTGGTGGCTGATCAGTATATAACTTCACGTTTGTGTTTGTGTGTGTCGCTGTACACAAACACAAGATAATTTTCGTAGTTGGTATTGGTTGTTGTAGAGAAGATGGGCCGAATGGCCCATAGACTGTCATTTCATGTTATGTTATGTTTCTCTCTGTTGTGGGCCTTATTCTGGGCCCATACTCTGWAATGTTCTGTTTTTGTATTTTCCTGCCCACTCAAGGGCCTCTCTRTAATTTGTCAAAGATTAACTTATTAATAAGATGTTTAGAGTGTTAGAGAGGTTAAGTTCGAACCTCTTACTCTCTAACACTCATTGCCACCAGCTCTCTCTTCTCTTCCTCTCTTGTTTGTTTATTTTCTGGTTTGCATCTAATCTCAAACAGTTCCATACATCAAGTGGGCTGTTTTTCAACTTGGTATCAGAGCGGGCCATTGCTTGGCGTGTCCCTCATGTGGTTCTA